TGGGATCCTGTAAGGCAGCATGCAAAAAAATAATAACTAAGCCAAGCACATGTTCGTGGATACCTCTGGAGTGGTTTGAATGCTTCAGGAAACTAGCTATGTATGTACTAGCCCAAGTAGACGTGCCTTGGGTATGTCTGTGACTCAGTGAGAGTAAATGCTAGTTCTTGGCTCTTCATGTGTTCAGGCAAGAGAGTGCTAGGTTCAGGAGTCCCTTCAGAAAACAGTGAGTGTTGCCTTCCTGTGGGAACGGTCCTTCCTGGAGCAATGAATGGGGACAGAGTGTGGAGGGTGCCCAGCCTGGGGCCAGCACCTAGAGGACACGCTCTTCTCTTCCGTGGGATAGTTGGGCAGACACCCATCTAGGCTGCAGACCTTTGTCAGAAGTGGGCTTTGATTCCTTTTTTTAATAAAAATTTAAATTTTATATTATGTGTATGGGTGTTTTGCCTGCCTGTATGTCTACGCACCCCACTCAATGCCTGAGGAGGGCAGAAAGGGGCAGAGGGTCACCTGAACTGCAGTGATAGACAGTTCTTAGCCCCTGTGTAGGTGTTGAGACTTGAATCCAGGTCCTCTGCAAGAGCAGCCAGTGCTGGTAACCACTGAGCCATCTTTTCCCCCGATTTATTTTTTTTAATTTATGTTTATATGGATGTGTCTGTATGAGTGAATATAACACATGTGTACTTCTCCAAGTACATGTGACAGAGAAAAATACACAGGAGAACCTATGAAGCTCCTGAGCCCAGACCTACTTTCTGTCTTCTCAAAGACCACCCTGGACACTGGTCCCTCTCTGTGTGAATTTTGAGATCCAGAGGTGCTGCTGGCTTTACTCTGGTCAGTCCCCATGCTGTGCCCAGATGCTGGCAAACCAGGGCTGAGCCATGCTTGCAGAAACTTGTTGGAGGCTGGATTAGAATCTTGGCTCCCCGTTCCTCATCCAGTCCCCGTGCCTTGGTAAGACTATATTATTTTCTTAGCTCAAATTGCCATTTCCAACTCATTATTTCTCTATGACGAGAAAACAATATTGCCTCTTATGTAATAGCAACCTCAATGAATCTGGAAGCGATCAAGGAATGGGTGGATTTTTTTCTCTCCTTAAAAAAAAGAGAGAGAGAGAAAAATAAATTTGAGATTGTTTGCATATGCCTGAGAATATTTATGAACTCTTCCCCTTTTTCCTCATTGCATATTTTACCCAGCACATTTGTGTGTAGTTCAAAATGAATCTTTATGGGGAGCAGAGGCAGAGAGGGGACAGAGCAATTAAAAGATTGGGTATCCATCAAGTTCATGGAACATTAGTCATCATGGGTCACTGGGCACTGTAGCCTGCCTAAGGTTTGTGACCCCAGCCAGTGTCTCTGAGGGGTTCTCTCTCTCTCTCTCTCTCTCTCTCTCTCTCTCTCTCTCTCTCTCTCTCTCTCTCTCTCTCTCTCTCTCACACACACACACACACACACACACGTTACTCTCCCCTATTACCCTGGTCTCTTTTTATCCATTTTACCAGAGTAAAAGTTCACTGTGAGTGGTTTCATGATCCAAATGCCATCAGCCAAAAGAAATCATTCAATCTTGTAGCTTCAGGACTGAGCCGGCAGGCAGGAGGGAGAAAACTGGAAGAGAATATCTTGGTACTGTCACTGCTGATCTGTTAGCCTGGAGTGTTTCAGCATGTGGGTACGGTGTGCCTGTCTCCCTCTGATCATCCCTTTCTCCACGGTTTGTCACAAACGAGGATACGGGGGGGGGGGGCACAAGGGACATAGTTATGGCTATGTATTAAATATATAAGGGATGGGACTTGACTTTAGAATTGAGGCTACTCAGAATCTCACATTCTCTGTTGCATCTTGGAATGTTTGAGAATATACTGATTTGAGAATGTGGGAGGATTCACACAGATAGAAGGATGGCTGCTAAACTGAGTCACAAAATAACAATGGTAAGCAATGGCAGATCCGGTACAGTCCAGGTCCTCACATCAGGAACTCTCCCTTTACTGAGTTGAATGAGCCCAAAAGGGTCCGTGCATGAACCTGGGGATCTTCATTGTCATTTCTGAGATGAGGAAACTGTCATTCAGTGTCATTGAAGAGCTAACCTCCAGGCATGGAGAGGTACCAGGACCAGGGGCACAGGTGGGATTTATGGTGCCCAATGCTAATTCAATAAGCTTAAACAAGGATGTGAAAAAAAAAATCATGCCCAAGGTCCTGGAGAGGGCTCTTCAGTTAAGAGACCTTGAAGCTATTACCTCAACAGTGAGACATTTAGGCAAAATCCAAATCCTAATCCAGGGCAGCTGCAGTTCATGTGGCTTCTTTCTGGTTTCTCATCTCATGTCTCTATCATGACTGACACCAACTGCAACCTCAATGCTCTGGACCAAGAATATACAGGAGCAGGTTAAGTTATTGACAACCTGTGAGCATGCTCAGCATGTGCATGTCGTATGTCATGCTGTAGTCATAATGGAGCGGACGCAACTACACCTGTTATTAGACTTTACCCCTTCCATTTTGAGAGCTCATTTGACAGATAGCTGGAATCCATCCAGAGCTAGTCTTCCAAAATCTCCATCATTGCTTCACATCCCTTTGCCAAAATCCATTATTGTTGGTCGGCAAGGTCTCCAAGAGGCATTTAGAGTTAGGACTTGGAATGTCTACTTTCCCTTTTCCTACTCCTTCATATCCCTTGGTTGATATAAATCGATCAAAATTTAGCAAGTATACCATGTATCATGGTCATTTTTAAATGTCAACTTGTCACAACCTAGAGTTGCCTAGGAAGAGAGTTTCAATTGAGGATTTATTTAGATTGGGTTGACCAGGAATTATATTGATTATTCATTGATATGAAGAGATTTAGCTTATTTATTATTCCCTAGGCAGCGGTGGGGGGTTGCGGAGTGGGTGAGGGGCTGCCTGACTTATACAAGACAGGGAAAACCTGCATAAAAGAGCAAGCAGGCAAGATGGCAGCCAGGGTATATTTGTTTCACTCTGCTCTTGACTATGAATGTGGTGTGGCCAGCTGTGTCTTCCCTACAAAGATGATCTACAGTTTAGTAGCGTGCCAAGTAAACCCTGTCCTCCCCAACATGGCCTTGTATCGGGATGTTGTAGCAGGACGACAGAAATGAAACTGGAATACTGTGTTATTATTTTTTCCCTTTCCCACTGTGACTGGGTTTTTGCCCCACTCTACCACTGAAAGGAGTAGAGGGATTTGAGCAAGCAAACAAACCCAGCACGAAGCCCAATTGCTTTGGGGAGAAAAGCATAATAAGTATTGTCTAGTGCCCACCCTCTGCCTTAGCCCTTGAATAGTCTGGCAATCCCATCGCAGTCTAGACAATCGCTGAAGGGAATTCAAGCATTTTTTCCCAGCCCTCTCGCTCTATTCTCTCAAACTGGAAACACAAAGCAGATGATGAAGATGAGTTCAAATGCCACACCAGGGAGAAGGAAGGATCGAGAAACTAACGGCCGGCCTCTAGCTGGTTTCCAAACATTCCAGGAAGCGTTCCGGGGCATTGTCTCACACTGGTGTCCTTCCACTGTCTCCAACAAAAGGCCTCCTATGAACAGACAAAAGTGGGTTAGGTAGGTGGGAGAGGCTAATTACAGAAGGCACATCTGTGAAACCACGCAAAGGAGGGCAGACCTCACAGTTTCTCCTCTGGATGGCGATATGCCCCTTGTATCTGCGGCCATGTGGATCAGCTGGACTCCCGGGATCTCAGGAGCACAATGTCTAACAGAATCTGGGCCTGGGGGTATTGAGGAGCAGGGCTGATGTCACAGGGACAGTGGTCAATGACCAAGCGGCCATCTATTCTGCAGCGACTCTGTCTATTCAGGTGTACAGTTTCCATGTCACCTTTCTGTGACTAAGGGGCTCTATGCTTATGTGTGGCTAGATAAATTAGCTGCTAATTAATCAGGATTGGAATATAAATGTCTTCTGCCACCTCGTCTTCCTTTAGGTGTTCATTCTGCTGCATCTGTGGCAGGTGATGGTCTCTACGCAAGTGGAATTCCATGCACATTGCTGATGACCACTCCTGTCTGGTGCAGTGGCCTGGCCTCTTGGGACTGCTGTGAGCTGTCTGCTCCAGATGAACCTCCAGTGTCTCTCTCATACCCATTGCACCTCTGCCAGTCTCCCTAATCAGGACTGCTCTCATTCCTATGTCCTGTCCCCTGGAGGTCCCCTCCCCTTCTCCAGCTAGATTAGTCAGAGTTAATGCTACCACAAAACTGGCCCTGTCTTAGGACTTCTGCTGTGCCATTTTTAATCACTTACTCAGCCCTTTCTACAAAATTATAGTGTGTGTATGTTGTCAATCATTGACAAAATAAAAATAGGTAAAACAAGAAAATAGCAGTTGCCTAATGTACCTGCTGGAGATAAGCTTTGTGAACACTTTGGCATGTGCTCTGGCTGCTGAAATTCTTTGCTTAATAGAAGACACATCTTAATCAAAGTAAAAGGAATTTAATCAGTTTAAAGGAATGGCTGGTGTTTTAATCAAATTAAAGAAATAACTAGTGTTTACTTCTTGGCTAATTTTTCATTTCTACGTGTGTGTGTGTGTGTGTGTGTGTGTGTGTGTGTGTGTGTGTGTGTGTGTGCATGCACACACGTGACCACAGAGGCCAGAAGAGGGTGTTAGATTCCCTGAAGCTGGTTACTGGTGGCCATGAGCTGCCTGGCAGGGGTTCTGGGCAACAAATTCCAGTTTTGGTAGAACAGCGACTGCTTGGCCATCTCTCTAGCCCTACTGTTTGTCTTTTTTTTAGGGTATTTAGTACACTTGGATCGAGTCATGCTCATAGCTACTAGGGGTTCCATTGTGTGTGTTGAAACGGCAGAGCAGTGGTGGCAGGTGATTCAGCACCCACCTGGTCCACTCTGCAGTCCCTGCGGCTGTGTTTGGGAAGAGGGGAGTTGACCCTTCTTTTGTTCTTCCATGCCAGCCCTTGAGAGAGGCTTGACGAAGGCACTACAGAAGCTGGATGACTACTTGAACACCCCTCTGCCAGAGGAGATTGATTCCACCACCCGTGGGGACGAGAAAGGGTCTCAGCGCAAGTTCCTGGATGGGGATGAGCTGACCCTGGCTGACTGCAACCTGCTCCCGAAGCTGCATGTGGTCAAGGTAAGAGAGGTCTGTGCGTGGATAGTGTCCATGTCTCAGGCCCAGCCACCTGGGTGGATGAATGGAGGGGAGTAACTAACTCCTGGGAGCCAAGACGACTCTGGGCTCTGAAGTCAGATCTATTAGGGACCCAAGATCAGCTGCCCTGCTTGCTGGGTGAAGAGCCTCCCTGAGATTCAATTTTCTTAAATTAGAAAAAAAAATATTTTACCTACATGTATGCGTGTGCACTACATATGTGCCCCATGCCCATGGAGGCCAGAAGAGGGTATCAGATTCCCTGGAACTGGAGTTACAGATGATTGTGAGCTATCATGTGGATGCTGGAAATTGAATTTTGGGTCCTCTGGAAGAGCAGCCAGTGCTTCTAGCCACTGAGCCATCTCTCCAGCCCTTGGGCTTTCCTTTTCATTTATAAAATAATCACAAATATAAAATATAAAATTGTTTATCTCTAGGGTTATTGTGGGACTCAGCAAGAAATGAAATTGCTTATTATACTATAGGGGTCAATGTATAATTAGTGCAATGCCACTGTATACACAGTTGCGTCACAGCCTCGTCTTGGAGTTATCCCCACCATGCTTTCCTACCTGCATTAGGTGGGTCCTCATGGGTCATTATAGATCTCTTTGTGCAGACTCTGTAGACGCTCCCTCAGGTACCCAGCTATCATTCTCCCTCCCTATTGGCTGAAGCAGTAGAGGCTGCAAAGGAGCAGAGCAGAGAGTACCCGCTTGCTCTCAGGGCACTTGCTGCCCGTCTGCACCATGTACACATATCCTTGCCTATACAAAAGTCACAGTCTGGAAGCTTTTAAGAGGAAATTTTAGGGGTTATCTCAAGCAACCTCCAAACCCACACTAGTCTGCTTCCTGCTGTGTCCGTGACAGCCTTCTGTGCAATGTGGTGGCACATTTCTGAGTGATAAGGAGCGCCCCCCCCCCCCATCTTACTGTTGCACACAGCTCTGATTCTTAAAGCATCCTTCCTTACATGGAGTTCAAGCACGTTCTCCAGAGCAACACGGGTCAGTTCTGTTCCTCTTTATCTAATTGGAAGACAGCATTTGGATCCTCCTGAGTTCTGTAAACAGACACCTCTCTTTCTCTCTTGCTCTCCCTCTCTCGTGTACATGTGTGTGCTCATGCACACATGTGCACACACATGCACACATCTAAGTATATGCACATGGAGGCTACATGTTAACACTGGGTATCTTCCTCAATCCCTCTCCACCTTATTCTTTTAAGGCAGAGTCTCTCAGTGAACACAGCGCTCACCAATTTGGTTAGGCTAGCTGGCCAGTGAGCTCGGGACCCCCCTGGCTCCATCTCCCAGCACTGGGATTCTAGGTGTGCACAGCCACACCTGTTTCTGTCTGTGGGTTACACTAGGAATCTACACTCAGGGTCTCATGCTTGTAGACACTTTACTGAGTCAACCCTCTCCTCAGCTCACCCTGACCCTCATCCTTTTTGATGCTCACTGTCTGGACTCTAGACAGGCTCTAGAAGCTAAAGCAACATGCAATACGGTCTTATGACCAAACAGTCCCTGCCTTTTACCCTGTCCATGTCTTACCATGTCCTTCTGACCATCATCTCTGTGCAAACAAGACCTTTTCCAAGTGTGATGGCCCTTTAATAAATACCAATTTATAGGTAATACAATAAGCTGCTATGTGTCTTTTAGGATATTCATGTTTTTTCTGCCCTTCAATGAAGAAAAGGCGAGCCTATTGTTCATCAGCAGGGTATGTCTATTCCTTTCAGCTGAAGTACTGAGCTAGATACTCTCCTCCAATCAGAACACACACCAGCTTGTGGTGACATCACTTAGCTGGTCATTCACATGTGAGCATCCCACAGTCCTGGGTTAGAGCTAAAACTGTGGAGGGGATTACATGCTCCTAGGGCAGGCCGATACAACCCTTTAATATGAAGACATTTTAGGCTCAGGGCCAAGCTAAAGATCTCTTGGAGGACCAGCCAAGTGTGTCCCTTTGAAGACATTAATTGTCATCACATACCCCACCCACCATATTGCGCTTTCTTCTCCTGTCCCGGAGGAATAAGCAGAACCATTAGGTATGTGTGGTGCCCACCCAGCCACACAGTGTCACCGTGATATAATGGAAAGATCAGAAGACCCAAGTCTAATTCATCATCTGCCACCAACTAGCAGGGCAGAGTAGGGCAAGTCGTTTGATCTTTTAGGATTTCATTTTTCTTGTGCCTAAAAGGAGAGGTGTGGATCAAATTCCCTAGCTTCCCTTTCTTTCCTTCCTTCTCTCCTCTCTATCCGGCATGTACGGGCAACTCACCCAAGCATCCTTTGTCAAAGCAGGCAAACACACGGCGCTCTCAGGCTTCTACACTATCCTCCAAATGCCTCAGATCCATCCAGCCCTAATGACCAAGTTAATCCCCTGTCCTTGGAGACAGTTCAGTGGCTTTCTAGCTCTGGGAAGCTGGGGATCAGAGGGAGGATGGCCTAGGAGGGAACAAAGGCTGGGCCTGGACTCCTGTCTCCTTGGATTTCTGCTGATCCAGCTTATCAGATCCAGGGACCTGGCAAAACTCCGCAGTGGAGAGAGCGGGAAGGGGAGCCAAGGCAGTTTGGCCTCCGATGCCAAAATTTAATCTGGGTGGTGGGAGCTAACTGTTTTCATATGAAACAGCAAATTGAGAGCGTGAGCAACAAAGGTCCTCGGGATGCCAGAGTTCTGGGCACCCTCGCTCCTGCATCCCTTCCTGTCAAGTCTGTCCCCAAACAAAGGATGCTGAGTGGCTGTGGCCCACACTTACTGAAAGCCTGGTCTAAACTTCCATGGGTGGGCTTTTCCTGGCCCAGCAACAGGGACGGTGCTCTCTGTGGGACAGCTTGGAAGAGAGACAACACATATAAACACAAATATCGATTCTTCAGTTGCATGCCTGCTCTTTTCAAGTGAATAAAGATAACCCAGAATATGTGTTTTAGTTCGCTTTTCTGTTGCTCTGTTAGAACAATGACCAAGGGCAACTTGGGGGTCTGTCCATCGTAAAGGGAAGTCAGAGCGGCATCCTGGAGGCAAGACCTGAAGCAGAGGCCAAGGAGGGACACTGCTTCCTGGCTTGCTCCCCTTGGCTTGCTCAGTTACCTTTCTTACCCAGTCCTGGCCCGCCTGCCTAGGGATGGCACCACCCACGGTGGGCTGGGCTCTCCAACATCCAGTAACAATCAAGAGATGGCCCCGCGGACACATCCACAGTGCAACCTGGTGAAGTTCCTTCTCCCAGATGACTCTGGTTTGTGTCAAGCTGGCAAATTTGTGTAAAGTTGATCTAGTTTGAGAGCCTCCTGCCTCGGTCTTGTGAGTATTTGGATTACAAGTTCATGCCTTCAGGCCAAACTGCACACAGCAGTTCTTAGTAGCTTCATCCACTTTCCTTCCTAGCCAGCTTCGCTCAGCCGTGCTGAACGCAGATGTACCTAATAGGCACAGCCACTCCTGAAATGGTGGCCCCGATCCCTCCTAATGATTTGTTTCCTGCCTTCACACCAACTCCGTCTTGTCATCTTTGTTTAGATTGTGGCTAAAAAATACCGGAACTATGACCTCCCGGCCGAGATGACGGGCTTGTGGCGGTACCTCAAGAACGCCTATGCACGGGACGAGTTCACCAACACCTGCGCGGCTGACAGCGAGATCGAGCTGGCCTACGCCGACGTCGCCAGGCGCCTCAGCCGATCCTGAGCTTAGCTGTCTGGCCCAATTCTGCTGCAGAGGAATTCTACTTCTCCCAAAGGCCTTCAGCTCTCCAGACACTTCTTCCTCATTGCCTCGAGGAAACATTTAAAAGGAAAAAAAAAATAAGGCCACAGCTTGCTGGCACCCCTGAACTCAACTCCAGCCTACTACCTTCTAAGATTAGTGCCATCCTTCTGCCGTGGCCCGCAGGAGCCTGGCAAGAGGAGGGACTCAGCGGCTGATCTTCCCACCCGCTGGCCCGATCTAGGGTCAGTGTATCTGGGGTCAGTTTGGAGAGCTTCCCTGGGATTGTCACTGGTCCCTTCTGCCAATATCATAATGCTTTCTCAGATGCTTCAGCAACTTCAATGTCAGCCTCTCTTCCACCCCCCTCTTCCTTAGTAATCGAAAGGCCACAGTCAAATATCATCATGTGACCATCTCATCATGTGATCCTTAGGGAGCAATCCTTGCTTTGATTGGGAGACAGTGGTGGAGGGTGGAACTCAGCTGGGTGTGGCTCTGGGAACCTAGCCTAGCAGCTCCAGCTGCTCACTATTTCTGACAGAGGGCCATATTGTAACGTCCCCTTGGGTGCACCCCAATTCGCTGCTCTGCTGGGACCTGGTGCAATACAGTTATGTCCCGGCCAGCACTGACCCCAGCTTTCCGTCTGTCTCCATCCACAAAGGCAGTTGACCGATAATTCTAGACGAGGTGACCCAAATGGAGAGGAACTTCTGGGAAGCAATGTTGATGCCAAAAGGCCCGCCAGGGTCTACAGTCACAGGGGCACTGACTTCAGAGTGGTCATCCACCGGAGATTTCATGAGTGGGTGTGACTGTGTTCTTCAGTGCGTGGCTTCGGGTTGGAGAAAGAGATGGGAGGGGCAGGGGAGATGGGAGGAGATAAAGTTTGCGTTTGATGTAGCCTAGGAAACCTTTAGACCCGCCTTCTCTCTCATCATCTAACTCTACCAACCATAAAGCAGACTCCAACATCGGCCAAAAAACGTCTTCCAGGCCCTTCCTAGTCACTTCTGGATGTGGGTTGCCACCTGGGTGTGCTCAGGCTCCCAGCTTCTTCAGCCCCAGCCTCTGATGGAAGAGACATCCTCTTAGGGAATGGTGTGATCAAGGGCTGCCTTAGGAAGAAAGTCCATGGGTCTTTCTGACAGGGAAGCCACCACTTGAATTTGGAGAATATGTGCTGTCCTGGGCCCATTTTCCCACCATCAGACTCTCTAGCAGATTTTTAAGAAAAAAGCAGTATATATATTTTAAAGCAGTTATTTCTCTCCTTAGTCATTCTCCTCGTGTTTTATCTACAAAACTCATGGGGCCTGAACATGGGAACCTAGGCTGACCAAGCACATGACAAATGAGTTAATCGTTAGCTCTTCCTCGACCAGTGAGCTAGTGAGCGCCTGGGAGAAATCCATCTGTTGGGCCTCACCTCCAACAATCCTGCTTTCTGTGTTGCCAGTGGAGGGCGAGGCTCCTGAGGGCCGGAAAGCCCCTGGCCTTGGCTCATTACTCTGGAGGGTGGGGCAGCACGGGTCCTTTCCATAGAAACATCAACACGTGCTAACAGTCACTGGACCCACCTGCCTCTAGGGATTGCCAAAGCAAAGCGTGGTCATTGATCCGCGGAGGGAGGAAGCCGGAGGTCTCCCTAGCCCATTGGGGAAGAGGACTCTGCCTGCTAGGCCATTTTATAAACCTGAAAGGGCTTTGAAGACGCAAAATGAGTTGATTCATTTCCACCCTACAGGAACCTTTCCACAGGCTCTCGGCAAGCTGCCCCGGGGGATGTTTGAAGTGTAGCACTGCTGAGGGAACAGCCCTTTTACTGCAGGGAGGAGAGCTTCTGGAACCATCCGGAAGGCTGTTTAATTAATAGGAAACCCCTGCTGTGTTCAGGAATCCTTCCCAGATCTCACAAGCAAGCAGGGTGAATCAACATCATCCCTATGTCCTTCAGGTGGGCTGATGTTGAAGATGAGTCTACCAGTATACATACATACAGAGGGGTCCCAGAGGGAGGGGAGACTACTCAGAACCCGTGTGTGATCTTCCGAGGCCAGAAATTGGCAAGTCTTTAAAAATAAACAGCTCAAGCTGAGTCAATACTGTTTCTAGAAGGTCCTCCTGTGGTTGAGTTAGTTTTACATCAGTAACGATATTTAGGCAATGTTGGGTATTATAGGATTGATCATAACCCCTTTAAAGAGAGGTGATATTATAGAAGGGAGCTCTTCCGAGTACCTAAATTCAGAAATAATTTTAATGTTATCAGATAATCATAATTAGACTGACCAGTGTCTTGGGGCATAATTGTCCTGGTATGTACAAATAGCAATAAAGTAAATGATGGTTGCGCCCCACTGCCACCTCAGGCTTCTCCCGTGCCTCTAGCTCCTTTGGACCTTGGCCTTAACCTTGTCCTGTGTAGGATTCACCATCTGCAGCCACCCTGTGGTGAGGTTCCAAGCCCCAGCTCAGACTGTGTGCAAGGGTCTGCAGCATGCACACTACCTGTAAAGACTGGATAGGAGTTATTCTGGTAAGTGCCAGTCCCTCAGGAAGCATTTGGGTAACAGAGAAAGGGAAACTATTTTGATGGAGCTATTTCATTTCTCACCTTGGATTGTCACATGACAATCTTGTGTGTGTGTGTGTGTGTGTGTGTGTGTGTGTGTGTGTGTGTGTGTGTAGCTGAAGTTTTCCTGTGTCCCGCCTGGCCCGTGGTCAGGACAAATCTCGGTCCTGCAGCTGCTTGGACTCAAGTAAACACACAGAGGCTTACATTATATACAAACTGTATGGCCATTAGCTCAGGCTTATTACTGACTAGCTCTTTCACTTAAATTAACCCATAATTCTTATTTATGTTTAGCCACATGGCTTGGTACCTTTTCTCAGTTCTACCTTCACAACTTGCTTCCTCTGTGTCTGGCTGGTAACTCCTGACTCAGCCTTCCTCTTCCCAGAATTCTTCTTGTCTGCTTATCCCACCTATATTTCCTGCTTGGCTACTACTGGCCAATCAGCATTTTATTTATGAACCAATCAGAGCAACACATTCACAGCATACAGAGTGACTTTACCCACTGTGTGTGTGTGTGTGTGTGTGTGTGTGTGTGTGTGTGTGTGTGTGTGTGTGTGACAAGTGGAAGGCAAGACAGACAGCTAGATTCAGACTCAGAATTACTGAGTTGAGTGTATCTATCTATTTAAATCTGCCTACATCTTAGGTTGACCCAGAGAGAAGGCATTTGTTAAGATATTAGGAACTATACACAATAAGACAGAAAGTGAATTTTTTGTTGTTCCAGAACATTGCATATTCCCCTGAAAAAGAAAAAAAATATTGCTAAATTCAGGATTACAGGCACGTGTGTATCTCACATCTTAAACAGGGGACTCAGATAGGCTCCTGGCAGCAAACAGACCAGTCGCAGAGTAGGACACAGCCAGCCAAACAATCCCAAACTAGTTCCAGCTTCCTGGTCAATGGCCCTGTCCCTGGTGTCCTACGGTGCTGGTGGGACCAGACAGCATCTTGATCTTTTCATCAACAAGAAGCCGCTCTAAGAGTGAGGTTTGGGGCATGTTTCTGGTACCTCTTGGTTCTTGTGAGATGAGGCAACAGTAGCAAAGACAGTGCCTGTGCTTAGAAGTGGGCATTCCACAGACAGACAGACAGACAGCCATCGTGGAGTGGAGCATGCCCGCTACAGACAGATATTGACTGTCTTAGAGTCCCAGGAACCTGCAAGGCCCAGGTAAATTGTTAGAAAGGAAGCCAAGGCAGAAGCTGTGTGTCCATCTAGTAGGAGTTCACCATCACTAAAAGTGTTTGCATCTACAATCAAATCATGCTGGAAGCAATAGGTGTCTGACAGGTGTTTCTGGGGTTCCCCTCCATTCAGCTCAGCAGCAAAATGAGTCAGGAAGCTGATGTGGCCTTGCCTGGAAACGCAAAACATTCACTTGGGGTTGAAACTAAGTTCAGTGATTCTCAAGGGTTATATTTTGAGACTTAAGTATTTGTATCATATGTATTCGTATACATTATACCTCTATATGACATTAAGAAAGGTCTTTATGGAATGTGAAGGAAAGAAGTGTGCCTATGAAGCACCAGATTCTGCCATTGGGAGAACACTGGGGATCTTGTCGTTTTTTGGCCTTGGGGCCCATCTAAAAACAGGCCAGTGACCTTGTATCTACTGCTCCCTACCACTCAAACTAACAGCTTGTGCAGAGTTACAAGTGCATTCTCTTCCCCCTTTACAATATTCCTCTTTCAGCCTAGTTTCAAGACACTTTCATCTTGTTATTAAGTATGAGTCAAACTACACAATCCTATTTAATGTTGTTGAAGGAAAAACAGATCTGTTCTTCACTACCACCACATACACTACCAAATATAAACAAAACATTGTTTCCATATGAGGTTTGAGTTAAACTGTATTTTCTATAAAATCAATCTGATATTTGGCATAACAGTTTTGAAGACATGGTATTTTTGTATATAGCTAAAGATGGCCCAACATTAACTATGAATATATTTATAGCAAATATCAGGCTAGGATCTAGCTTGGTTGGTAGAGTGTTTGCTTAGTGTGGATGAAGTTCTGGGTCAGTTTGCCACACTGCAGAAACCAGGCTTGGTAGTGAACACTTGTAATCCCAGCACTAGGAAGGCAGAGGCAGCAGGATCAGAAGTTCAAGGTCGGCTACATAGTAATTTGGAGGCCAGCCTGCTATGTGAGGCCCTGTCTCAAAACAAAACAAAATAAAAACAGGCAAACTGTTCAGCTGCTGTTTACATTTGTACCCCCACCCCACCCGTGCCTCCCCCTACCCCCACCCCTTCCACCCCACCCCCACCCTCATCACCTAGTTTTTCCACTTTATAAGGTGAAGAATTAACAAATTTAGCAATTCTAATTAATGCTATGTAGACACTCCAAGTGATGGTAACTCACTTTTCTTGAGATCCATAGCTGTGGTAAGAACAGGCCTTGCTTTCAAGCCTTACTAAACGCAACATGCCTTTGAGTATACACCAAGTCGAGTGTTTTCTTCTTATCTCCAGCCAGCTATAGATGCATTTCCCAGCCTTGATTGGTATTGACTAATTCAATAAAGTTGGTTTATTTTCAAATACTACAAAAGAGATCACTGGACTTCTTTGGGGGGGAGGGGTTATGCTGTTTCAAATGATAGCATAAAATCTCTCTTTGTTTCAAGTAAAGATTCTTTCCTTTCACATGAAATGTACTCATTTTTTAAAAAATCAAACCACCGAACAAATTTAAAGGTGTGATTGGATGCTGCTCTGTGGTAGATCCCTAGAGTATAAGATGCCATAGGTTTGATCCCCAGGTTAGAAAGAAAGAAAAAGGGGGGAGAGGGAGTTAGGGAGGGAGAGAGAGGGAAGAAGGGAGGTGGAACAAAGAAGGAAAAGAGAAAAGGGGAAGGTAAAACAGAGGAAGGGGAGGGAGTGGGAAGAGAACAGCGGGGAATCGAAAGGCTTGAGATGTAGCTGTTGCAATTCCATTTTTTAAAGTAGGCAGACTGTAAGTTCTTTGACAGCACGTGGGTGAGGGAAAACACTACACCCTTAGCAGCCACACCTCTCATTTCCACTCTGCATTTTCATACCCAGAGGTAGACCAGAAAGCTACAACCCAGTGTGAGTTAAACAATCAATCTGCTTGTGCCCAAAGCTCCCTTCTGTCTCTCATGAGCCCCATCACATCTCCAGCTCTAAGCCTCCAGCCTCAGCAGAACATCACTGATTCAGGACTGAGGTTCCCAGGGTCTCTGAAGCCAACATGATCTCCGATGAGGCCACCTATGAGCTAAGGTCTTAGCCATCTTTTAGGGTCTCTGTGCAGTTGAGAAGAGCCTTCAAGAATCTTAGAAGTTACTGAACAGAAGCATCAGGTCCCACTAATGGCTGTGTGTAGTGGTTTGACGAGGAAACTAGAGCCCCCACAGACTCAGGTGTTTGAATGTTTGGTCATAGGGAAGGGCACTGTTAGGAGGTGTGGCCTTGTAGGAGGAAGTGTGTCACTATGGGGGTGGGCTTTGAGGTCTCGTATGCTCAAGCTACACCCAGTGGGGCACACAGTCTCCTTCTGCTACCTGTGGTTCTGGATGTAGAGCTCTCACCTTCTCCAGCATTATGTCTGTCTGCATGCTGCTGTGCTTATTTCCATGATGATAATGGATTAAATCTCTGAAACTGTAAGTCAGCCTCAGTTAAATATTTTCCTTTCTAAGAGTTGCTGTGATCATGGTATCTCTAGCTGAAGCATGAAAGACAGTGGTGCTAAGGGTGACTTAAACTGTGGAGACCCTGCTCAGGAGGTTTCAGAGAAGGATTGCATTATGTGACCTAGAGACTGTTTTGTGATATTTTGATAAAGAGTGTGGCTGCTTTTTACCCTTGTCCAAAAGTCTACCTGAGGCTAAAGTAAAGGATTTTGTATTAATTCAATTGGCAAAGGAACTCTCAAAACAGCCTAGTATAGATTCTGCCATGAGGTAACTAGTGTTCTCTCTTAAGATTTATAACAAAAAGGAGTGAGCTGAGCAGGTGAAAACACAAAATGCACAGATTGAGGAGAAAAGGTGGCACCAGGAAGTGGAATGGAGCTAAGTCCTCTTTCAAGGAGATAAACCAAAGAAGAACCAGATGTTAAATGGAAAAAAGGGAGTGGTGACCAGGCAAGACCCCACCCAGCTAAGCTTCCAATTTGTGAAAAAGAATTAAAGAAAAACTTCTAACTGAGTGTGGTGGTACAGTTCTTTAATCCCAGCAATCAGAAGGCTGAGGCTGGTGGATCTCTAAGTTCAAGGCCAGCCTGATCTACAGAGTGAGTTCCAGGTTAGCTAAGTTTAGGCAGTGAAGGAAACCATGGAAAACAGAAAGCTAATGAAGAAGTAATTGGATGAGGGAGGTGGCCATGGTTTAGTCCTAGCAAACAGCAGAATTCCGCAGCTTTGGCCACATGGTTCTGACTTTAGAGTCAAGGATAGAAGAAAAGGAATTATGGAATCTCCCTCCATGACTAAGGAAAGCTGCTGAGGTCAGGTGTGTGGCAGGGGTGTTCCTGAGTGGAGGCCCAAAGAGGCCATTGCATGAAGCTGTGAAGTTGAAGCCTGGGTTGCCTTGAAGACCCCAAGATGTTGGAGATGGGATACTTGTCAAGGAGAGCTGCTAACTGGGAGTGGAATCAGCCCAAGAGAAAGAAGTGTGTGGCAGTCAATAAAGCTGAAAGGAATTGGAGATCTGAAGAGTGTTTTGACATCAGACATGGAGATGTAGAGTTTGGAGTTTTCCCAGTGGAAAACTCTGCTTTGGTCCAGTATT